GCGACGCGCACACGAGGCCGGTAACTGCCACTAGCCCAAGGACACGTATGGAAGGCCCACAGCTCCGTCTGCACCTACGGCGCTCATGCTGAAGCACCCTCACACCCAACGGAAACAAGTTATCCTACAACAGTTCACCAATCAGTGCCACATTTCAGGACAAACCAGTCAGCTCAGCGTACACAGATTTTCGCAGTTAAGACTGTGGCTTATTAAACTTCTCATCTTCTTTTTAACAAACCTTATGTTTTAGATAAGAACATGTATTTACTCTGCTGCTGTGTATCCAGTGCAATTTACACACACTTACAAAGGAAAATGAGAATGTATATGTCTCCTGGTAACTTCACATTGATGACTATACACAAAGCAGTGAGAGGAAAAAGATACACTACTATTATTACGAGCATTAAAGACAGGCAAGAATTGGAACGTATTCTACATGTCTTTTCAAATGCAGAATCTAAAATGCTGACTTGTAGTGAAGCTTAGTTCTGGATTTTGCTGCTGTTCTCATCTAAATGTATTACAATCAAAAAAAATGTCAGCAGGTAGTGGGAAGCAATATCTTGGCTTTTTTTATTATTATTTTAAAAAATGTGATCTGATAGTAATGAAAAAGATGCCTCTCACAACTGTCTGTTCTCCATCAAAATCTCTGTCTTTAAGGACAAACCATTCATTTTTGTAATTTCTGTCTCACCGGTCTTGTAACTCCAGAAAAGCAGTAATGCAAACTAATCAGTTATCAGACTGAAATGTTCAAACTAGCCACCCTGACTTGCTCATTTAAACAAAAGACAAGTCACTTACAGAACTGGATGAACAATCAGCTCTGGACTATATGATTTAATTACAGTTGCTGCATCTTTGGTACAAAACACGTGGGATAAATCTGCACCCTAAAAAAGAAAATTTGCAAACAGAATTATGAAGCTTATACTTAATAATGACATAATCATTCCAAAGCTTATTCACCGAACAACTGAATTCCTATCTGCTAGCAGTTAAAGCAAACTTTACTATTTTTTCCATTTTGGCTTAACCTATCAGACAATGTTTTGCCAAAAAAAAAAAAAAGCATTTTCTCCATCTTTTAACATAAACTTAAAAAAAAGATAGGATGTCTAAAAGCGAAGATCTTCAACGTTTTACTTATTAGATAAATATTTCAGATGGGCAGAAGAACAAAGACTAAAGTGTCACACAATAAGAAAAAATACAAAAGAACAGCTGAGCAAGAGAGAAACTACATTAGAGAAGAAAAATAATACTGTAATAGATCTGTATAATGTAGATATGACAACCTGTGACAACTTTCCAGTCCCACTATTTTTTTCAATGGGCCAAATTAGTACCAGCTGAAGGCCTGCACAATTTTGCCAACTTCCCTTCAGTTTAAAAAGCATTAAAGCTGGGGAATTGAGCTATAAAGGTTCCTTATCAACTGAGGAAATCAAAAGTACACACAAGGTTATACAAGCAGAGATTAGGGAAGTGGATTTCATTTTGCTAAAATGCAGATTTTTCTGCCAAAATTTCCAAAGGTAAGAAAAGTGCCTCCTCTGCTTTATTACTTTATACACATTTAACATTTCAAACAGCCATGCAATTCAGAGATATGATCCTGTGGCTCTTTATGTGAAGATGTAATGACCAAAGAAAAAGAAACTTCAATAAGGGTCTGCTTAGTGCACTACTGTATTGGCAACTGGTGAACAAAAAAATGGAGCAGCCTTAGTATCTTGTAAGATTATTAAATTGTCATGTTCCCATGTGAAATCCCTGAGGGACTGCATCTAGAGGTGCAAAACTTCTGAAGGGCAGAAAAAGAAACTGGGAGGAGGGGAAAGAGAGGAGGAGATATCTGCATTGGCTAGCTACCTATTGAAACAAATCTTCAAAAAGGAAATAATTCATAATGAACAAAATGTACTGATAGACACACAGAGCAGATATATGTAAGTATATACATTATTATAGCAAGTCTAAGTATTAGGTAAGCAGGATTCGCTTACATTTGAATAATCATAACTGTATTTAGTTCTACTGTTAGAGATGGGGCTGTAGTATGCTCTAACTATAATTTTAGCCACTTAATACGTTACTAACATAAGGAAGTTCACACTTCTAGGAAACAAAGAGCATAGAAAACACTTCTGATAAAAATCACAATGTAAACCAAGTATGCTATTAAATAATTATGTTAATTTCAACATATAACTTTTAGATTTATGGTGTGCAATAACTTTATCAGCCTATAACTGATTGAGGAAGGATACTTCAGTTGATGTACTTATCAGGTGCAGAACAAAATCTGGAAGGATTGCAGCAGTGAAGAACATAACTTTAACTATTAATCTAAAGATATTTTATTATTTACTTTCTAAGAAAATATGTCATCAAGTTTTAAAATATCCCACTCAAGTCTCTGAAATTTTCATTTTTTTGAAATAATATCTGTACCTTATACTGGGAGAATATGTACAAAAAGCAGAACACGTACCACTTTCAAAGCTGTAATTGCAGCAAAATACGGTGCTCCCGTGTATCTAGAATGAAACACAATTTAGGTTAGGAAACGTTCATAAGGTTGCCTAATTTGAAAAGCAGACTGCCATAATGACGCCTCAAATTCAAAAGCAGATTAAAAAAAGGCAGGATAAAATTCTGTGATGCTGAAACCTTGGTTTGATTTCAGAGGAGCCAGAATTTCACCTTATCCACCTGATCCCTTGACAGAAATATTTACAAAGATCATGCCATTAAAAAAAAAAAGTAAACTCTTCTCAGGAAAACAGCTTATTAGTCTGGAAACAAACAAAACACAACAAAAATGTTTTGCTTGCAAGCTGTTTGCAAGCCAAGTCTGGGATCCAGATCAGTCCCATCTGGTTTTAGATACTTAACTGAAGAGACTAAACTGTAAAGAGAATTTGGGACAACTGGAATGACTGAAGAGGAAGACATAGGTAGAACGCCCTCTGCTCTACAGATATCTACCTCTGGCAAGACATAAGAGCCCCGGCCCAGCACACCAGGAAAAAACTGATTCTGGCCAACCAACCCAGAATGCCCCAGCTGTAATAAAGCACATTTTTTCTCTTTATAGATTTTTTAATAATCATGGATCTCTCTTACAGGGGAAAAAAATCACCTCTATTTTGAAAGCAAAATTTTTAAAAAAGGGAAGATTTAGATGATTACTAAACATGGCTAAGAAACAGAATCCAGGCTGTTTTATTTCTAAGTGAGCACTGAAGTTATTTATTTCTATTATTCCAGAACATGAAGCAAGATACTTTTATAGTCTACTAAACACTGCAATTCATCAACATAAAAAACACAAAGAAAAACTGGCTTAAGAGACACAGCTCTCGTGATATCAAAATAAAGCAAAGATTATCCTAGAGCAGATGTGCCATTCTATTCACCTACTTCTGCAAGCTTATCACATTATGGGAAAAGACCTTAATATCAAAAGGAGAGAGAGCGAGGCTGCCAGACAAGACAGCAGACACAAGCATTGATATTCAACAGTTTCAGCTATGCCCACTAACAATATTTGGCATCACTATCTTGGGACAACATACTCTTTTACAAGCATGCATGATCACCATGATGCACTAGCAAAGCTCCCTGGAAAATATCCATTATTTTAAGTGTGGAGTGAACTTAAATGGTTTCCACACGTAGTAATGACATACTCAAGTTTTCTCAGCAGCACTCAGATTTCTTTTTAACTTACTCTTGACATCCTCCAACGATGCCTATGCGCCCATCTTGACCTTTATGCCTTTTTCCTGTTAGAGGAGGGATAACGTTGCGCACCAGTTGAAAAATATTCTCCATATCCTTTAGAGTGTGTGTTTTGTGCAGTGAAAAAGACCTCTCTATAACTGAAAAAAGAAGAAAGTATTGCATTAAAATGTGTTCTTTCTTAAACAAGCATTTATTTAAGCATTCAAAAGTCAATAAAAACACTTCAGGGTGCACGAAGTGATATATTTCTAAAAACAGATACTTTATCACTTAAAAGCTTTAAAAACACCGAAATATTAGGAAAGGCTATTATTAACTTAAGGTCCAAGGCAAAAATATTCGCACTGACTGATCGCAGTCCTAATTTAGGGCTTAGGTACAGAGATAAACAACCCAAAGCAGCTATATTGACATTTTGGAACTAGAAACACCTTCTCAGCTCAGTTTGAAATCATTTCCACAATTCAGCTCAACTGAAACAGACACACTTGGTAAAGACTAAACGCATCCGGACTGGGAGTGAGCACGGAACAGCTAAAAGCACATTTTAAATTTATACCCTACCTTATTTTTGCTTTCCCTTAAAACTTCCACATCTAAGCAGAGTCAGGGCCTATCTCACTGCTTTTTGTTTTGGCAAGTGCTTAAATGGAAAATGAAAGCCTTTCCATAAAACTGCAATCACATACTAGGTGCAAACATTACAACAACCACACAAAGAATTTTTACCTGTAATTCAACTACAGATCTCTGATGTGAAATTACACTTCAAACTATGTATTAAAACAACTTCAGATTCAAATTACTGTTTCAAATGACTGAAAATGTAAAGGAAAGTATTTCAGTGGATACAACTACAGAGAGGTAAACAGTTACCTAAGATCAGCACCTCACACCAACGATGTATTAATTAGAAATTACGGTAAATGTACTGAAAGAATAATTTCTTATCCTTGTATTTCAACAAAACTCATTTACTGTACAAGTCCATTCAGCACAGTGGTTTCCATGAATGCTAATATTCAACTCCTAAACCACAGTCACGCTCTCTTTCAAACAGTCCTTCCAAACAGACTTGCTAAAAATCCTTCCATGAGCTGCTACACATTAACACAGAATTATGCAAACAGTAAACCCCACAATACCAAGACCCCACAGACCCCAAGTCTGTGTAGGACTTGGTAGTCTCCCCCCGCCGCCAAATCCCAACAGGATAAATGAGGAAAAACAATTCCAAAAAATTCGGACATAACAAAGAAAAGATAACCAACAAGAAAACTCATCTGTGCCCTGCCAGCAAAAAGCATCTTTTTCTCCATCCTCCACAGAAACTAACCTTACACCAGGCACACTAATCTTCAGTTATAAAATGTCTTATTAATGACAAATGCTCCTCGTTGGTCTTTTGCTTTCAAAAACCCTTCTATAATACAGGCATTCCGTTCCTACTGAGAATAAAGGGGAAAAAAAAAAAAAAGGCTTTGGAATATGGCCAAAAGAGCGTTGCAGTCACCCAGAGTAGAACAAAATACTCATCTGCTCTGGAAATAGGGCAGATGATTTTCCTTAAATAACACTTCACACATACGCTGGTTTTCAACCACACACAGAAACCCCGTACATTTCATACACCTTGCAAGCCTTAAAGTGCCACAGCTGTTAAGAAAGACCTCTGTTTCTTTGCTGCTGGTTTTTGTTCATTTGTAAATACAAAGCAATCATATGAAAACAAGCAAACAAACAAAAAGAGAAAATGGAGAATTATGCAGAACACAAACCTAAACAGAATCCCCCTTAGCTATGGAAATACTAAGGCAGCTTTAACTCTGAACAACTGACACCCTAATTCCTTAACAGAAAGTATCTGGTCTGCAGTGTCATTTTTTACACTTAGCTATAGACTGTTTGTTAGTCCTCCACCAGATAAAAGACCAGACTCCTGAGTTTTTCTTACTGCACTTGAATGTATGTAACACACTTTTGCACAGTGTGTTAACTGTGCACCTGCGTGACAAAGCACAACAAGAGAAACTGGAGCCTAGTCTCAAGTCCTTACAGATAATAATTCTTCCAACTCCTAGCACGAAACATTTTAGAATTAACAGCAAAGTACCATCGCCCCAATCGCAAACAATTTGCTAATGGATTTTCCAAAGCACTTCATGGTTCAGCACTGACAGAGGACCCCAGTTCTGCTCTTGCCCCTTGAGTCTGCCTTCATATGTACAAATAAAGATAAATGACACGGGACCAACCAGAGATCTGTTTAGAAGTCAGTTAGGGAAGACTAACACCTAATTATCAGCTTCAGGCCCACGCATAACATACAGAAGGAAAAGCCTGTGCGTAATTACCAACTCTAGAACTCTTTTTTTTGTTCCTTTCCCTTCAGAATAAATTCAGAACCACCCACCCCTGCAAAATGTATATATGAACTGATACAGAATAGCAATATACTCAAATACTTTCCTTTTATACTCTGCCTACTAAAGTAATATGATAATTAAAAGATAAGATTCAGAATTTTCATGTAAAGAAATTTATTTTGAAGAAGCTGATTTTTAAACACGTGACTTACTTCAGAGTAGGCAAAATTCCACTCTTTTCCCAACCCTGAAAAAACATATGCACATCCTTAACTTCACATGCTGAGTTAGGCCCATTAACTTACACAGCAGCAGAATCTCTGCTACAACATATCTAATGTTTCCAGGTCGCATTATCAGGAAATTCTCTACTTGCCTTTTATATATAAAACTTCTGCTACCTTCCATTAACGGAGACATGAACGTGCAGAGAACTCCCAGTGTTTGCAGGGTATTTTCAAAAGTGTTATTTCATTCATTAAAATTTGTTATAATCAATATATCTATATTTAATAATGAGTACAATGGCACGAATGACATTTTACTTTAATTTTACATCAGAGAGACACCTTCAGCACAATATTAAGTAATTTCAACTGCCTTTTATTTTCAAAAGCCGCTTACTACGAGAGCTTCCACATAAAACTTTTAAAAAAGAGCTTTTATTTATGCTATAGAAGGAAATACCTATCGGTGGAGAAAGTGCAGCTGCCATAGCATTATAATTAAAGTTATCCCCATATGAACGATGGTTTGCTCTCTGAGGTGGACTTGCTGGTATAGACTGCGACCTTTGTGACACTGTAGAAGAAATTCCTGCCAACATCTGTCCCAACATTTGTAACATCTGGAGCTCTCGAGCGTGCTCAGCTTCTCGACGCTTGTCCTCAATTTTGAGCCTCTGCTCTTCATATTTGTAAAACTTCTCTTCTGTATCCACACTTTGCTGCAGGAATTTTTCCATCATTTTATCCAGTGTTAAATTTGTATGGCGCTTTTTTGATCTTTTGGGCTGGCTGAGAGGTGGGGTAATAGTCGGAGCACCGATTTCTTTAAAGCCTAAAACAAGAGGAGATAGGATTATTTTCCTGAAGCGCCAAGAGGAAAGCAGCAAAAAAAATCTCCCTATGAGATGTGGACCTAACGCATCACGAAGCTCTTCTTTTTCAATGAGAAGTGAAATTACTTCAGATATTTTTATTTCAAGCGCCACAGTACAGACCCAAGCTTCAAAAAAGTTGCAAAGGTAACACAGAAGCCACAGAGGCCTCTTTTAATTGTTGTAGTACTAAATTTTAACAATAGGCGTCCTTTTGATCTTCTAAAAAGGTTTAAGTGAAGGCTATTAAACAGTACAGCCTCGTTTGTGCACTGCAGGTAATTACACTAATCTAAATTGAGTTTCAGTCTGTTGGCACCCAGGATTTGCATTTCAAAGGGCATCAGTGTAAACAACTCTTTGACGGGGTTTATGCGTAAAGAGAAGGCTGGACAGGTTGGACTTGGACGGAGGTCAACCCAGTGGCCGAGCCCTCAGCGATGCCACCTTCCGAGCACGGGTTCCCCATCGAATGGGAAAACCTGGCATTAACCTAGGCTTGAAAGTAGCAAATAACGGTGCCCCCCATGCCCACGGTGCGTCGGGCCAGGAGCAAGGGACGGGCTTTACAAAGGGTCCACGAGCGGGCTGAGGCGAGGAGCAGCGTTTTGGAACCGACAAGCGGTTTAGAGCAACTAATTACACAAACACTACTCCCTCACTTTGCGGCCCCTCCGCACGAACGAGCGGATTTGTTATTATCATTATTGTTATTATTGTTGTTGCTGTTGTTTAAGGTATGCCCATCAGCAGCACGCTGATTGGCAAATGAGCGCGTAACCTGAAGGGGGCCAAGAATAAGATATAAATAATAAAAAATATAGTAACAACATTAAAAATAGCGATAGCATTAAAATAGCATGAATAGTAATAGCAATAATAAACAGGATAATAAGAAAAATAGCAGTAGTAATAGCAGTAATAACAAAGCCCTCGTCGGGAAGGGGCCGGGCTCTCGGGGCGGCACCTCCCGCCTCTCCCTGTGGCCAGGGTCACCCCGAGGAGGCCGCGGGACGCGGCCGGGGCCGGGCACTCACCGTGGGCGCTCGGCACGGGGATGGCGAACGCGGGGCTCTCCACCTTGACGCCGATCTCGCCGTACGAGGAGCCCTCGCCGCACTCGTCGGCGCGCGGCGAGCGGCGCGCGGGGGGCTCG